GCATCCATTCGTATGCATAACTGTTAATGGAAAATGTAGAAAATTACTTTTTGAATAAATGTCTTTTGAAACCATATGTGTGGCTAAGATTTGTAAATTAAATCTTTATGATCTGGAGTTGTTTATTAGAAAACCTAATATTTAATCAACTATTTAAATACATTGCACCCTAAAATTTAATATATAGTTGATTGATTGATTGGTTGAATTGACTTTTTACGGTGCACAAGCACATTGAGGCTGTTTAGCATGGTACAAAAGTTTATATTTTCCATTATTTAAAAGTGGTTAAAGGTTTTGTATTGACCAGCAATATGAAACCAAACAGTTGAAGGTAAATTGACAAAATGGTGACAGTGATAAATTTAATATATATTCAACATGTTTAAAATAAATATCATTTTTGGATGTAGATGTAGCTAAAAGTCAAAGCAGTATGGTACATGTTTGAAACAAAGTTGTTCATCAAGTATGTTTAATATTCTTTGTATCATCCTAAATTATGCAAAGATGGAATACCATACAGGCAAGTGAAAAATTATGGAATTATTTCTAATGACAATGTCTTTCAAACACCTTTGACACGTCAAATGTTTTTAAATTGTCCAGCTGATATTATTAATGCTGCTTTTGAAAGGTATCTTCCTTTAGACAGCTTGATTCACTAAAATGTCACATCAAAGACAAAGATGACTATGTCATTTCTTTTACTATTTAGTAGAATCCAAATTACCCAGAAAGGGTTAAGATTATCAACACACATCTTTTGCAATTATCTCTGAAGTATTAAATCACTTCACAAGAGCAGGCTTACACTTGTTTATAAAAGAACTAAGAATCTCAAATATTTCCTTGTTAGTTTCAAATTAATAATGTAATTGATTATGAAGGGTTTATTAATGAGAGTGCAGCAATACCAAAGAAAAATTTAGGATACATTGTGATATAAATTGTGTAACATCTAATGTTATTTATTTGATAACTGGTAAAGGGTTGGCATGAACACAGATTTGACTTAAATAATTTATAGATCATCTTTTTTCGTTTTATATCAACACACATTTTAGCGATGGCCTACATACTTTACAGGATTTTTAATTTCATGCAATTGATATTGTTAATTTGGAAATGAAACGTCTTTTGAAAGAAACATTGGATTTGCAGTCTGGATACCTTCGGTCCAGAAAAAGTCTAAATTCTAAAGTTTTATATGATATTTGTTAATAAATTAATTATATTTTGTATTCTTTTTTCTTTTTTGTTGATTTTGTACAAGTTTTTGTGGATGTAACAAAGACATACAAGTTTCATTTACCCAATTTAAGAAAATTGACACACAAAAAACTGCAAAATAAGGATGTAAGAAAATTCTTTCAAAATTATAATCTTTAAAGTTCATGATCATTCATTTGGAAGACCTCTGATGTTTCATAATCTTGGTTGAAAAAAATGGATCCAGTTAATATTTTACCAATTAATGATTAGTCATTAGTCACACACACACACACATACACACACACACACACACACAAAAGAGATCCTGAGATCCTTAAATTGCATTTTTTGCTGGACATGTCAGACAAATGAACTTGAAACTGTTCAATGACTATTGTTGACTTGACATCAGTCATAAGGTACCAATAATTATCCCATGCATTTGTTAGATTGTTATGTTTTCACAACTTTTTAACCCTCCATAGCCATAAATCACAAGACAAAAAGGGTTGTGAAAGCTTCTCATCTGAATTTGTATTTTAATAATATTTTCACATAACATCAGTCATTCATATCATGTTATTGATGGTTTTCAGACCTTTTAAAGGAAATATGGGATGTCTTGGCTCAAATAAGAAAGAAAACAAATGCAGCAACAACTAATAATTATAATAATTCTCAAAGATTTGTTTGGGACCTAATGAAATAAAACTTTAGTGTTGGTCTTTACCAGCAATGTCCATCAATTAGATTTTGACCTACAGTTTGGTTTTGCAAGCCTGCTTGTTTGTTACTTAATTATTAGCTGTAATGACCATACATCAGAAGTGATTATGATGGCTTGTTATCTCACTGTCCTTTGTGGATTACCAGTACACAAGTTTGTCTCATTTCTCTTGGAGATTTGCCATGAAATTTTACACAAGCATTCATCCAAAGTTTTCATTGACAATGCAGCTGCTCAAACATCCTGAATGGCCACCATTATAGCCATTCTGAAAACCTTTTTATTGCCACTCCCTTTGGGTGAATGGTTATATCAACATGGAGTTTTTAGCAAAATATATCTTATGATGACTGGCATAGCAGCCATCTTAAAAATTACTATGGCTGCTCCTGGAAGAGTATTGACATTGAGTTTCACCAGTAGACTTATTATGATGTATAGTTTGTCCTAAATGAAAATGTTGCTATGCAGACATCCAGTTTGGCCACCACAAATTTGTAACGAAAAAAGACATTTTCGGGAGCATTTAATAAATAAATATTTTCTCTTTTTAATATTTTTATATTGAAAAATTTATGGATGGAACATTGTAACTAAAATAATGCCAGCAAAGTAAAAATTAGAATTTAGTGATCCTAGATGCATACATGCATCCATCCATCAATACATACATACATACATACATACATACATACATACATACATACTGTTATGTACATTAAATTTGTATTATGTGTTTGGTTTTTCCTCATGGTTGTACATTATGTATATTTTTAGTTTGCAGTTGACATTAATCCAAATCTAAGCTTACTGTGTATCTGACTAGAATTGGTACATGATGTTTGCCATGATTTTTTTAATTTAAAATTTAATAAAATACTTTATTTTGTTGATGACATATGTTCTAGAAATAAACTTTTGATCTTCATCTTTATTATATTATGTCATACATTTATTCACTGAACATACAAAGTGCTCATCAGTGCTCTTCTTGGACTGGAGCATTAATTTGAAAATATAGTGAATTCAGACACTAATATGACACATCAAAAGACTCTTGGTACATCATCACTCTCCAGGGCATTCACATATTACCACATACAGGACTATAGGCACATCAACAAATTTAGTACTAGAATTTACTAGAATACACAAGAATTAATTCATTTGGAATTTATTACATTTGGATTTGTGAGGATAAAACTTTTACGACTATCTGGGATTTAATTCTCAATAATTTATGCTCTTTGTTTTAAATTTTCACTTTTTATTCTAGGGAAACAATATATTTATTGAATTTTACAAGACTTGTTAGATTTTCTCTCTTTCCTGTTAAGTTTACAAACCAGAGTTGTAACCACACACATGTACACATGTATGCGTATATGCACACACATATACAGGCATTGATACAGATATATATATATATATATATATATATATATATATATATATATATATATATATATATATATATATATATATATAAAGAAAACAACAAAAAAAAATGAAAAATATAGCAACAACAACTGCAGCTTTTTCAAATATTCTGTAAGAATATTTTTGGTTTGCCAGGTATGGTGTTTTATTACTGTAGCCAAGGGTTGGGTCGGTGTTACCAGAAGGGTGATTATTTGGGTAGATAAGGCTTTAATGATTTTGTATATCACAGCTTCAATCAGTCCATGCATCTGCACATATTCAGTGTTATGGACATACCCACTGTGACCAGCAGATAGTGAGAGCCATTCATCAACTTATCTACTGTCAAATCAAAGGGTCATGGGGTCATCATGTCAATACATTTGTAGATTAGCAAATTAACATAATTCATGATCACTGTTTTCCTTAATTGAAGATTTATGATAGAAAGAGCACCTTGGGATTAAAGATACTTTCATATGCAGAACAGTGTTCCATCTGGAAAGAAAATAATGTGCAACTGTACTGAATCTTCAGAGTTAAAATAAATGATATTGTATTGTGTGTGTATGTGATATAGATTTTTAACATAGCTTAAACAATTTTTCAGTCATACGGCTACAATGTCTGCAGTGTGACAGTGTGATGTTTAGCACTAGGGCATCATGCTGCAGTCATGTAGCATGATGCCCCACCAAGTCACCTTATCCTGACTAACCTCTTAATGCTGAGTGCCAAGCAGGGCAAGAATTAGTACCATTTTAAAGTCTTTGATATGACTTGGCCAGGATTTGAACCTGCGACCTCACACATCCAAGCTGGATGCTCTACAAACGGCCACCAGAGCAGTATTAATAATGAAATAGGACTGTTAGGACAGAAAAAATGTGTGTATGTGTGTGTGTGTATGTGAAAGGCACATCAGCATTATATTGGCTATATAGTGCAGACTGGTCAGAGGTTAAAGTAGCTTGATTTAAATATGTGACACTTAAATAACTTGCTATTTCTGAGTAAATTGATTCCATCTCAATAGTACATAGTTTTGCTGATAGCTCATAGTTTGTATCTGGATATGGAACCTTGTACAGTTTACATGTGCCTCAGTCATATGCATGTACAATTAAACCTGTTTTGTGAGACCATCCTTTCTGCTAACAAAAAGCAGTCTTTCAAGAAATTTAGTATATTGTAAGATGTCATTGGAAGATTACCACAAGTTCTCTGCATATTTCTGGAATTCTGGAAAAGGTTTAAAGTTTGAAAATTGCTTTTCCTGGTCTTGAAATGACTGCAGAAATTGAACAATGACTAAAAGGTCTTCAAAAAGTCTTAAATTACAGCTGTCTTAGAAACCAATAACATGACTACTCCTTTGCAGCTGGGAGAATTAGTATATGGATTCTGATCTCTCCTGGAGGTCTGGAAATTTTTATTTTTGGAATGGAAAAGGTCTGGATTCTTTATTTTTAAATTTGTTGCAGGAACTTTGGTACCATGTAACGTAACATGCAACATGTTTAAGAACAGAAAATATCTATTAGTTTTTTGTTATATTTCAGAGTTACATCATATGTATGATAAGAACTGTCCATTTGACAATGATAAGACTTAATCATCTGGTGTATGAAGTGGGGCCCACACTGGCTGAGTGGGCTAAAGCGCTCCACTTATGGATCACTGCCATCTCACATCTGTCTGCATGGGTTCAAGTCTCATGTTAGGCCAATGTGGGTATGTGAGAAAGCTTGCCAGTAGCTTCTCGTGGGTCAGTGGTACCTTCTGGGGTTTGCCCAGGTTCTTCCTCCACCATTTGTACTGGCTGCCATGTATAGCCACCTATCTTGTGCTGATAAATGGAGTTAAATCCTAGAACAACAACTGTGTATTAGGCTTTGAGTAAATGTGGATATATATATATATATATATATATATATATATATATATATATATATATATATATATATATATATATATATATATTATCAGTGAATTAGGTCAAAGGACAGAACTATAGTCTGATGCTACATCCCCGTTTGTACCCCCCTACTGATTTCAATAACAAAATCCTTTAATTTGATAAAAAGTGCAAAGAACTTAATTAATGCATTGATTTATAATTTCTAACCAGAATGTGAGAAGAATTGCCATAACACCATCGTTGCCTGCGCATTTCATGCTTAATGAAAGTTTTCGATGTAATACCTGACATGCTTGAGAACCATTTCCAGTTTTTGTACCAGTCCATTTTCAGCAAATGGGTCCATACATGACTAAAGATGTACATACATATGTCATCTGCTTCAGATATTTACAGTGTCAAATCAAGCAAAGGAAAATAATGTCCAAAAAATTGCCTTTCACATGGATTTAAAAATCGGTTTCATTATTACGTTCACATGTGCAAAGGAATATAATTCCAAAGTCAACGTTATGAATTATCCGGCAGTTACTGAATATGATGAATTATGTCAATATGTTGTCGGATTGAAAAAAACTACCCCATAGTGTACTGAATATGGTGCCAAGTTAGTATGGAAAGTCTGTTAAGCATGAAAGGTGCAAGGGAATGCCATTATTAGTGCCATTCTGGTGACAGGTTAGAAATTATGAATCAACGATTCAGTTGACTTAGTTCTGTGTACTTTTTATTACATTAAACTTTTTAGTTATTGAAATCGGTTGGGGGGTACAAACAAATGGGGATGTAGCATCGGACATAACCAGAAACTATATTTATTTAATGACGAAACTAAAATGCTTAATTTGCAGATCACATAATGAGCTTAACTACCTACATCACCTATTGAACTTCGGAACTGGTAGCTAGATGCAACTGTTTGATTTTGAGGTTGTTGTTTTTTTTAACTCTAAGAACTAAAACCATTGTAAACAGTTTTTGCTTCAAAGGTTTTAAAAAGGTAAGTGGTATTTATCTGTTTTGGTGATGTGGTCAGAGATATCCTTGAGTACATATGAACAGGTGGAAATTCTACATAATAACATTAAGAATAGTTTATTAACTTGTTGGCACTGGCTAAACTATAGTACACTGTTTTTGTAAACCCTCCCATTTGTTTGCAGCCCTCTGACAACCTTAAAAATGACAAATATTAAGGATGCAAAAAAATGCTCAAAACTTATTCATTCATTGATTTATAATTTCTAACCTGATTGTTGCCAAGAGGATGTTCCTGATGTAAATAACAGTCCATATTCTGGTTTCTAGAATAATCTAGTTCAATAAAATCTGTTGTCCACATGAATCTTTGCTAGTTATAATATTTCAAAAATAAATTGGACAAATAAATATGAGGAACTCTTGTATACATGTGTTCACAGAGATGCAGCTCCAAAGCTTTTGGATTTGAGATTTTCAAAGACTGTGAAATACATCTAATCTGTTGATTGAAAACAAGCCAAAATGGCAACCGTGTTGCTAAAGAAACTTCCGTTTGATTCTACATGTTGACAAGTTGACAGTGTTTGGGGCCACCTGGTGAGATCCAGTTAGAACTTATAAATCAATAAATTAAATGAGTAAGTTTTGTGGGTTAACAAACAAATGGGTTGGTGTGAGAAAACTGTCATTATGCATATGTCCCTTCAGATGGCAGACTTTGAAATGGGTGCACAACTCTATACATGCAATTAAGAAACATTATCTTGGAAGCAGTCAATGGATTATTGCTTCTAAATCTAGAGTTGTGGTGGGTTTAATCCATTGCTCGGTGTACATATTTTGTATCCAGCATAGCTCAGAAACCATTGGATGCTATTCAGTAACTAAATTGCCTATTATGTGTTGATGTGCCTTTAAAAGTTTTCATCTTTTCAGTTGAAGTTTAGAATGATTGTTTTCCTTTTTACTGTGGCACTTTGGATTTAAAAGACCTTGAGTGAGTAGTTTCCTGCATTCTGCTACATCATTTACAGGAGCTGCTGTCCCATACTTACTTTGATCTCTGCAACATAACTTCCTACACATTGCATGAATATTTGTGATGTATATTCATTCCTTCTCCTTGATGGCAAGGTACATGAAAACTGACTGTCACAGTCTGATTATATATCAATGAACAATTTCATGCTAGAAAACAAGGCAGCACTTTCAATTTAAGATCATCTTCAGCTAATCATCTTTCCATCCCAGAACCAAATAAAAACTCTTTAAGCAAAGTTGTCAATATTCAGGATCATTAATTTGGGAAAGAATCTCAGGAAATTAGAGAAAATACAAATATAAATGCATTCAAAAGATGAAGAGTAAACTGTTCTATTTGACAAATACATTTCAACTTTAAGTAAAAATTTAATAACTTTTCATTTTGTTGTCTCGCTACTTTTGCAATGTACCCTGTACACAATATGCCTAGATTGTTCATTTAAATTTTCTATTTATTATTTCATATATAAATATAGCTTTATGTCAATGTCCTGTGTGTGTGTGTGTGTGTGTGTGTGTGTGTGTGTGTGTGTATACACTTTGAATGATAATTTGCATATGCATGCATATAATAGTGAGCCACAAGGATTAGCTCCTGCAACTAATTTTGTTGTCCTCTTTAATTAAAATTATTATTAATTTCCATGCTTAATAAAGCCTCAAGGAACTCCATTTAAATGACAATTTGTAAAAAGATTCAGATGTGTTGGTTTATTTTATTGGAGCTGTTGTTATCACTGATTTTAATAAATGCATTTAAGACTGCTTGTTCAGCTAAACATTTTGTGATTGTAACAACAAAGAACAGGTGATATCTTGAAGCACAGTCTATTCCCAAAGTAATATGTAGAAATGTTCCCTTTGTATATACTTGTCTATTCTGTAAGAATTGATTCTAATTATGCATGATACCTAATCAATTTATAAGTAGGTTTCCACTCAACTTGCAGGATAATTTACTTTCTGAACCTTATGGTCATTCCAGGTCATATTGTAAATGAATATTATTTCCAAAATCTGTTGGTAATTTTTGAATTACAATAGGAAACTGTTGTTCATTTCCCAGGTCACAAGATTTGAAAAGCACAATTTCCACTATCCAGAAACACATATACACCACTCCCTCAATAACATGTGCCCTGATAACTTGTAAACCCGCTTATAATGTTAGTTCAGTCATGGATCCCATTTTTAACTAGAAAGTACAACAAAAAAATTACCTCTATTTGTTGAACATGAAGAAAATTGTGATCAAAATTGGCAAATGAAACTTTAATTATCGCCCATTTTATTGTCATTGATATGACTTGGAAATTTGAATCAACATTATGAACTTATCAACTTTTAATAAGAAATCACATAATTTGTATAAATTTTTTTTCCAAACAACATTCTTGGTACACTGTAAATAACAGTATGCAATGAAAGTGTGATCAATGAAATTGTCACTGACATCTACTTGAGACAGCACTTGAAAAAACTCAGCTCTTATGCAGGTTGAATTTGCATGCATTTTAACTTTTAAATTAGTCCACCCTCTTTAACCTGGTAATACAAGGGGTTCAGCAGTTAATTCATGCAACAATGCAACAAATACTTATGCAAATGAGGTATCAAAAACCATTGTCAATTAATTAAGTTCTCACAGAATTGCTCATGGATATAGCTTTTATGACAAATTGACATATTTTATTTGAATACAACAGAGCACATTGTATTTACGATCATTACACTTAAACCAAACTAAAAGATAAAGTAAAACATTTCACTTAATAAAAAAATGTAACTAATTATTTAATTGGTATTTATTTATTAAATTGCTGCCTCGAGTAGGCATTAGTGACAATTTCATTGATCAAACTCATTTCAAGTGATCAATCAAACACATTCACAATAATTTTGGAGAATATTATATTATTAAGCTACCTTAAGCATACTCATTCACAAATGTGATAAATGATAGCAAGACAACCAAGCACAATGAATATTTGATGACATAAAATTCAGTTTCATAGATACATTTTATTAATAAAAAGCTAATTTCAGAGATTGTAGTTAATTTTTAATTCCTGAATTCATACTTGGAGATTTTCTCACAAATGAGAAAAAGTTTTTCTATTACTTACAGTGAAATCATTGTATCATTAATTTATTGTAGAACAATACACAACATTTACTTTTGAAGATAATGGCTGTTTCATGGTCTAACATTCCAGGTTTTTTTAAATAAAAGGAATCATGTTTGATTGTGAATTTAAATAAATAACTAGTCTGGTTCCCAGCTTAGTATCTTCTGTGAGTCAGTCTAATTAAAATCAGACCTCCACTGTCTTATATGAAGATCTGACAGCGACCACTTAGCCAATGGAAATGCAACTTTCAAAAATTTTAAAGTGAATAAAATTAATAGTCACATACTAGTGCTTTTCAGCTATACTGCTTAGTCTCCCAAACATGAAGTTATAAGGTTTAATCTAATTGGCTGATAAAATTATTGATCATGGTAATAACATGTCACCAGAAAATGACCTCTAAGCGGTTGCTGTCATATCTTCATGAAATAGAGTGGAGATCTGATTTTAATCAGATTGCCCCTTGATTTACATTCTACAAGAGTAGAGGGAGTCTCAGACTACTCAACAACAACATAAAGCAGTGATGTAATGCATAATGTTTTCACAAATGTTGCTGAAACCATTTTGACATATGTTAACAATATCTCAGCAGTTGAACATTTTGAAAATAAAGGCCATGTTTGCATAAGAACGAATAATTGAGTTAGAAAAAGCACTTTATTCACAACTATTCCCAACATGATTTTAAATGACTATTCAAGCCATAAAACAGACTGGTTCACTCATGTTTACTTGATGTCCAGCGAGGATGGAATCACTTTATATTATTATGGCGGTCCCTCAGCAACTCATGCCATAGCTTATAGTGCGGTTATTGAGGGAGAAGAGTATTGTAAACTGAGAATAAAGCATTTGAGTTTACATTATGATTCTGAGTTCATCCCAAAATTTTACTCAACTCTAGAATTTTGCTGATGCAATTTCATGTGCCTGCCAAATTTTTACCATCCAGCAATACATTTTGATTTCATTTACAACAATATCATGTCTTAACATTAAAATTTTTTATATTTTCTTATCAAAATATAGACAAGAGATATAATCTTTTGAAAATAAATTGTGTGGCAAAAAAAATTATATTAATGTGCATAGTATACATTATGTACATAAAATATCTTCTTTACCTTTTACATATGAAGCCATTTATTTATTTGAAAATTATAAATATGTTATACATTAATCAATTATTGTTCTCATTTGAAAATTAGATAATATAATACATCCTTCATTGTATGAGTTCCCATATCACAATAATTTATTAACTTACTTTTATATTCATTGGTTACATGAATAACAGACATGTGTCAGTTAGATGGAGGCTACAAAGGTTTCATGGAGACAGATTGATGTGCAAAGTTTTTATGGACATATATTATAGGTGCTAATTTTTGAGCAAGATAAGTGTTTAGATGCTTTTTTTATTTCTTTTGCATAATTCATATTTTTTAGCACCTTTTTACTGTTATTTAGTGTCAATCAGAGTTTCAGGTAACATGGATTCTTTGTGAACAAATTGATGGAAGGAATTTTTTATATTTAGTACTGTGCATAGAGATCAGTAGCTATAAATAAGGGCTTCTAGTCCAGTCAGAGGAGCCATAGGGTTCAGAATGACACATCATCATACTTGTACATACCTGAAAAATCAAAGAGTTATCAGTGCCAAATTAAGGTGAGGACATGGAGTACATGCCTTTGGCCCACTTAGTGAATTTGATCCATCTGGTTGACATGGGTAATAATAAATGTATTTAAAATAAACCTATATTTGTCTTAAAAGAATCTAATACTTAAGTTAATATAGCTAAAATTAACTTTATGCATATAAAGGATAGTTTAAGTGCAGCTTTCAGTGTATATCTATAGATTTGTATCTTTAGTGCCCTGGACTCCCCAAAATAGAATTGCCTTGGGCTTCTAAGGCCTCAATCTGCCCTGGTATGTTCCTCAAAATAACTGACATGTAAAAATATGTTGAAGTCCTTATTTTAAAAAAAAGTGTTGTTTGTGTATTGTACCTAAGTCAAATTAACATTTACATTATTTTTCTAAGTACCTGTTTTCAAAAATATTTGCCTTACTAAATAGATATTTCCAATCCATTTTTGTGTGTGACATGGGTGGGGATCTTTGAAAACTATTTGCTGTTGTGCAGAGCATTTGAAAAATACTATGTAAGATTTACCAAGCTGTGCTGGATTTCAACCAAATTTGGCATTTTTATTTTCATGAGACCTTGAATGAATTTAATTTGAAATATTCCATATTATTTTTAGATGAATTGTAACCCCTGAATCCATTCTCTCCATACTTTGTTTTCAAAGGTGCACCTGTACTACAGAATATTTAATTTCATTCAATTAGTATGCACCCAGATAATGATGTTACCTTGAGTGAGTTGGATTTCCAACATTAAAGATCATCATTTAAAAGAATTATGACCTCTGACTGCTGATCTACCATGCAGAAGTACCATGCAGACTGTTAGAGAGTGGGGTCAATAGTAAATCATTCTTGCTGCTAGTTTTGTGAGTGCAAGCTGTTAGTTAGATAGCTCAGCTGGACCTCTAGAGTATTTTGAATAAATTTTGATGTTTCCTGAAATACTTTTCCTTGCAAACTAGCAAATTATTAAATAAATGACAAATTGTGTATTTACTTAAATTTATTCTCTTTTTAATTATTTCAGCATCAAAATAAATCGAATGTTCTTGCCATAGTGGTAACTTGAACCTGAAAATATGTTACTCTGTTGGCTATTAAGCTCTATAAATTGCATCTTGGCAGACTACCACAAACCACCTTTAATGTTTTCATTGCCAGATACATTCTTTTAAAATACATATTCATTGCCATCTTACAGTTTTGTCATCTTTTATGACTTTGGCCATTGACAGCACCTATAGATTCATAACAAAAAGCTTCCTGTGTATTTTTATATTTTTTTTTATGTAAAAAAGCACACCAGAGTCAGGATTTTGGGGACTGTAAAAGAGCAAATTTTTATCACACTCTGTTTTGTTGTTGACCTTTGTAAGAAAAATTTAGTTAGACATGTATGATTAATTAGATTTATGGAGACCTGTGCCCATTCAAATTGCCATAATGCACTGATTGGTACCAGCTGGTCATAAGTTTAGCAATTTTTTAGGCTATGTTTGTTTAAACTTACCATGATTGAGGTCAAATTCTGATCTGCACAGAAACTCTCATTTCTGAAGGATACCAGAAATCATAGGATAATCTTTGTCAGATGAGCTGCATGTGAGAAAACTACAGGACGCCTCATGTATATACAAACTGAAAGGAGCTACACAATGTTGGAAGGGCTGAAAGAGGCAAGATAATGGAGAATTTGGAGAAAAGAAGGGAAAAGTGGAGAAAAACTAGACTTACCTGCAAAACAAAGTCAAAAGGAACAGTTGATGTGGACTTTGCACCGAGACAAGACATCAGGTTATGAATTGATACGAGGCAGTGTTATTCAGTCTCTTGCAAGGTTAAATGATGATTTGATCCTATTGTTAACGGATCAGCTATTGATATAACTTTATTTGTATTTTTGAAATTCCTTGAATAAGTTGATTAAAAAAGAAAGAAGTGTATCTTTCGAATTGTCACGTTTATCACACTTGTTTATGAATTCTATTGTTATGAATTTTTATTAAATTTTGTCTTTATTTATAACATGGACTCGTGTTATCCTATTCTTTATATCTGTTCAGATCTTTATATATTTCACCCATAAGTCATACTTTATATTGACATTTATTCGTTCTGGGCAAATTACACCATCAGCAATCACCTCTAGATAACAATAGCCAAAACCAAGTAACCCACCACAACAAAGTTGAGGAGAGGTTTATAGCGACATAGGACATAATACTTCAGGAACCCACCAACACACTTTAAATGTGCAACACTGCTGAAAGGTGGAAAAATGGTTTCTTTACAAAAGCTTCAGTAGGATATATAATGTGTCCTTTATGGTACTCCTGACTAGGAGATAATTTATCAACATAATGATGTTTGGGATGTGATGTGACATGATTATGACTTTTAACATAGCTTTAACAATTTTTCAGTCATATTGCTACAATGTCTGCATTGTGGCAGTTTGTAATGATGTCTAGCACTGGGGCATAATGCTGCAGACATGTAGCATTATGTCCCACCCAGTCACATTATCCTGACACCAGGCCGACCAGTTCTAACACTAATCTTTTAATGCTGAGCACGAAGCATGGCAGCTGTTAGTACCATTTTTGTAAGTCTCTGGTATGACTTGACTGGGGATCGAACCCACGACCACCCACATCCGAGGCAGACGATCTAACCACTAAGCCACCGCAGTGGTAATGTGTTGGGGTGGAAGATTGGGGTATATTTAAATAATCTACTCACCATTCCTCACTTTTGCTGTTTAAATACGTGGACGTACATGTGCACTTGTTTTCCGTAAATGCTCATTTTCATGCATGCACTTATGGAACAGTGCTAGCTTGGTTTTTTGAGCATCATAGTTTCAAAGGACATATGGAGGCAACCATCCTGGCATGCATTGAGCCTGTGAGCATTGGATGACCAGTTAAATGTTCCCCTGAGTGAGCTACCATTGTTCCCAGGATAGAATGGATGAGTGAGCTATTTTAAGTCTGTAGAAACTGTCCATTAGATTACTGTCAGGAAATGGACAGGGGTATCTTTTTCACTACCTGTAAAGATTATTAGAGTTTCATTAATTGAAATGAATTGCCTCATCTGACATATTATTGTAACAGCAATGACACTGGTTGGTGAACCATGTACAAAGTTTTCTTGTTTGACCTTTGCTATCTCAAGTCAATTACCGTAGGTATGGCAGTGTCTGCTCTATTTCATTTTAATTAAAGGCAGTGAAATTTAAATGAAGTTTTCTTTGTGTGCCTTAAGCAGTTTATTAAAAAACACTTGCCAATTCTATATTTTATTCTGATGACCATTACTATATTAATCTAATCCTTTCGTCACTTTAGCACATTAGGTAAACAAAATTACTTTATATTTAGACTTTAACAATTTAAGTATTTATTTACAAAAAAACACATGAATGTTAAGATTACACTGTTCTTTTACTTTAATTCTAACAAAAAGAAGAATCCCATTTTTATGGGGGATTTTAGCAAAACTTGTGAATAATTGAATCTTGTTTTTGCTATTTATTTACCTTATTTATTTACCTACCCTTTTTCTATATGTTGGGGATTCATTTCTTCCTTCATGTGCATTCTGAAAGGGAATATTTTATTATTTTTTTATCAAATAATCTGTCATAATAATTGTGACATGTGCCCAAAAATTTTTGGTAATAATACTAATACTAATAACTGTAGTAATAGTAGTACTTTTGTTGTTTTTAATGAGGATAAGGATGATAGTGCTAATGTTTTAAAATGCATTGCACCAAGAATGTTATCACAAGAGGTCATATTAAGGTTCACATTTTCGATTAGAACTTAAATTTATCTCCATCTAACTTGCATATTATTATTTTGTTGGAGCATGTGGTGTCTTTGTTTCTTTTCTGTATTATTGTCATACTGTTTTCTTTTATCCCAGGTCTGTTAAGTGTATCTTGTAAATTATTTTGAAATAGAAGATTGGTTTTATTTGACACCTGTTGTTTAGTGTCATCTGCATAAAGGTCAGTGAATGAAGTTGATAAGTCATTAATATATATTGTAAGCTTTTAATATAATAATTTGTGCATCAAAGACATTAAGTTAATATAAAACATAGCCTAAAAAAGTTCTGTCATATCACTACTATGTCTTCAGTGTGACAGTTTATAGTCATGTCTAGCACTGGGATGTAATGCTGCAGATATTTAACATGATATTCCACCCAGTCATATTATCCTGATGCCAGGCTGACCAGCCCTAACACTAACCTCTTAATGCTGAGTGCCAAGCAAGTCAGCTGTTAGTACCATTTCTTTAGGTCTTTGGTACCACTCAGCTGGAGTTTGAACCCAAAACCTCCTACATCCAAAGTGGACTCTCTAACCACTAGGCCACCAGAGAAGTCTACTAAAGGTTATGTTGAATATGACAAGAATACTATTTACATATCTTTAATGCAGTTATGTGCAACACAATCATAGTGAACTTGGGCTGGCTTAGTTGGGAATTGAATCCATGACTCTTGAAAGTATAGTATGACAATCTGCCAAATGACTAACAACAGCATTTTGTGTAAAGAAGGCTTAAATTGATATTTGTATAGTAATTAGCTTACCTTCTATAAAGTTGTTTAATATTATTATTATTATTATTATTATTATTATTATTATTATTATTATTATTATTATTATTATTATTATTATTATTAAATCCTGTAATGTGCTGTATATTGGCTGCAATAATGCTAAGTCAGGAAGAGTGTCTTCCCTATATATCTTTTGCATGATTATGTAATTAATGTTCTCATTTCCTGCCTAGTAAAAAAGATATAATGTAGGCTTTGTGTGAAAGAAGATTGAGTATACATGATGAAACATGGGGATCAAAGACATGTGGGCTTATGAATTTGACAACAGCAGCATGCTGTTTTTCACATTATGTGAAATACCAGTGGGTTGAATTGATGAAATCTTGTGGGGTGATTTATTTGATTTCCTAGCTCTGTCACCAGCATGTAGGAAAAAAGGATAAGAAACCCATAATGAGACTGCCAATGTGACACTTGATAAATTAGTCTGCAACAAAAGGTGTAGACTTTTTTTCCAGCAAGGATTTTCTTGAAATAAGAAAGGAGCTGGAGTGGTTTCATATATGCATACTTGCTCTTTGAATTTACATATTGATTCAGATTCAGCATTTATTCTGCTGCACAGGGCATAGACTTAGATTTTTCATTGAGGCTGTTGGTTGAAGTTAACAGTACGGTGAAGCACATAGACATTGATCTGCTGGTGCTTCAAGTGACGGCTGGTCTTTTCCTTCTGTCATAAAATTTCCTTCAAATTTTGAATAATAAATGCTGCTTCAGAGTTTCACCAAAAGCAGCCTTTCGATTGGTCAGAATATTTTTGTGTGAGATTTAAAGGTTTTTTTAATGGAGGGGCCTAGGTTTACAGTATCATTATTCTCAAACTGTGTGTCTAAGTGTTAAACATCATCACACCTTCTAAACAAATTTCACAGTTTTGTATGTAACTTCCATGGTAAAGTGTTTTGATGAGGTACGCAGATGTTTTCAATTTATTATATACTGGTGTCCATTCAATCTTGCATGGTTGATCTTGTATTTAATAAATGTTTGTTATCCATATCACATGCCAGGCCTGAAACTACAAACCATATGTATGTACTCACTTATAAGTTCAGTCAACAAAAGATCCTGATCTGCCATTGCATAATGAACTTGTAGGTGAGGGTATATTTTGTTTGTTCTGTTAATTACTCCTAACAAACCCAGATATGCTAGCACATTATGGGACAGCAGATCTGGGTCTGCAGTTTGCATTTTGACTTATGAGTTAGTATATTTGGTTAATGTTGTCTCTAACATCTAACAATGAATCTTACTTCTGTTAATCCTAATTTGTTTTGAATTTCAATCATACAGTAAAGCTAAAAATATATTTAGAATGTGTAAAATAGGAGGTATGTAATAAGTAAACAACTACATTTTTGTTTTGTTTCAAGGTGGAGAAAAAAAGCTTGTTGGACTTGTTGGATGGTTATTTGTATCAACTCCAGCAAGACACATGTATTTTTCTGTGGTCATAATACTGTTTTGTAAATTTCACATATTTACAGAAACATAATATGTTCAGCAGAATGGGTATTTTATAGAATTAATAATCTCGTGTATTATTGCTTAAGTATTAGTAACTATACATGGGTGCTGTATTGACTATACCAAACAGGGCAACATTTTCAGGTGGTGTAGAGGGAGTTACTTACTACTTATTACACATCATCCACTAAGCTGAACATTATTTTGTAAGATCACAATATTTTCTCCTACAAAGGTGGGGCAGAGGGAGTTATTTACTTAATATACATCATCCACTAAGCTGAACATTATTTTGTAAGATCGCAATATTTTCTCCTACAAAGGTGGGGCAGAGGGAGTTATTTACTTATTATACATCATCCACTAAGCTGAACATTATTTTGTAAGATCACAATATTTTCTCCTACAAAGGTGGGGCACAATAAGACTAACTAGGTAAGAATATTACCTGAAAGGAAAACAATCCTCATAATCTGAAAGAGAGCAAGAGAGAGACTCACTGTTTAGAAATTTTTAAACTATTTAAAGTTTTCTGTGCTTTCATGAATCACAGTTATAAGAATACTAATTGCTCCCTCCTAACATAGAATATGATCAATTTAATTAAATGTAGAAGCTGTCGTCAGTTATCCTAACAATCCTACCCCCCCCTTTAAAAAAATGGTTGAAGCAGAATCCTTTACAGAAGAGAGATATTTCTTCCAACTTCTATTTCTCAGTTGAGCCAACTCCTCTTTTGATGTAGGCTTGATTACATCAAGGCGTCAGATGATATCTTTTATAAATGTAATGTGTCATATTTAGCTAGTGATAATCTGTCTGCTTACTTTACTACCACCTGCACCCTTCATTAAGCAATAAATTATTTAGTATGTCAGTAAGTTTGCAATTGAATCATCTTATTTAAAATCATTCAAATAATTTAAAATGCAATTTTTAAAAAAGCTTAGTAAAAATTGGACAGTTGTATTTTGTAAACATCTGCTGGTATGTATGGGTGTGTGAAGCTTGGTTCTAATTCTTTTTAGCAACAGTGTAAACTCTGCTGTTAATGGCATATCCTAGATTGGAGATCACAAAACCACTAGTTCAGATTTTACACAACCAATCAGAACTGTCATTATTAAAGTATTTTTTGATTGGTCAACACAAAATCTCAATCCCAGAAGTTGATTTTCAGATCCCTGTCTTTGTCCCGTCTGTCTTCTTCATTTACAAATTTTATTCTCATAATATACATTACTTTAACCATTCTACAATTTAAGCAATGCATTTGATTCTGGTTTGATGTTTTTGAAACCCATTTGGTATTTATACTTTCATTTTTTTTTCATTACATTTTGCAGTGAGGCAAAGGATAACTTTATTGGTAGACTTAAGGTTTTCATCCTGAAAACTCATAGCCATTGATTAGCAATGCTTGTGGCAAGTCCCCTTATCTGTCTTGGATAGTCTTGTATGAAGACTGATTTGTGGTAATATAATTGGAGAACAGCAGCAATTCATGAGTCCTTTTTTTGTATATATTGGAAATCTAACAATAAAATAACAATACAAGAATTTGAT